GACTACAAGAACAGGTAACCATATATCCCAGACCCTAATTTGGCATTCGCAATATGAGTGTAAAGGAGATGTATCAAGATGTAGATACTTAAATATAGAATATAGTGTGTGTCATTTAGGAGTAGGAGAACCTAAGTGCTTCAGTCCTGAGTATCAACCCCGTACAATTTGGTTGACTCTCAGAAATGGAGATCCTCAGGGAACCCTAATTAATAAGACGGTATTAGAATCCGTATATTCTTCAGGTGCTCTGCTATTTGATGCGTGTAAAGCAATATCAAGTGGTAGAAAGCCGTGGAATGTATGTGGGGATCTTAGATGGGAGAGGACGTATGGGTCTAACGATAAATATATTTGTCCCAGTAGTAAAAATAAATATGTAAGTCCAAGATGTCCAAATAGAGATTATAACTTCTGCCCATATTGGTCTTGTGTGGGGTGGGCGACTTGGGGACAGACAGCAGACAAGGACATGATTGTGACTAAGTTGCCTACTAATCCATATTGTAAGTCTATGGAATGCAATCCAATCCATATACTTATAAATAACCCTGACAAGTTCTTAGATAAATATGGTAATTTATTTGGGTTTCAAATATATGGGACGGGTTTAGACCCTGGGACAATATTGTTTATAGGGATAGAGACTGATACGGTAACCTCCCAAACTCATCAAGTATACCATTCCTTTTATGAAGAGATGAGCATAGATAATAAGATCCCCCATAATGCTAAAAACTTGTTTATTGATTTAGCCGAGAGTATTGCCGGTAGTCTTAATGTTACCAACTGCTATGTGTGTGGAGGTACTAACATGGGAGACCAATGGCCTTGGGAAGCAAAGGAGGTAATGTCCGGTTCTAAGGCAGTTGACCAATTAATATCTATACAAGCCGACTATCATATGAGTGTTAGAGGTAAATCTGAGTGGAGATTGAAGACCTCCATCATAGGTTATGTTTGCATAGCGAGGAAAGGAATGATGTATAATACTTCTGTAGGAGAATTAACTTGTCTAGGGCAAAAAGCTTATGATGATGATACAAAGAATACAACTTGGTGGTCGGCTTCAAATGTCTCAGAACCATCTAACCCGCTTGCAAGATATGCCAATTTAAAGGACGTATGGTTTGATCTATCCATCACATCTAACTGGAGAGCCCCAGCGAATTTGTACTGGATCTGTGGTAAGAAGGCCTATTCGGAGTTACCACAGGACTGGGAAGGGGCATGTGTGTTGGGTATGTTAAAACCATCCTTCTTCTTGTTGCCTATTGAAACAGGTGAGACTTTAGGTGTTAAAGTGTATGATGTGAATCATAGGAAGAAAAGGGGACCCATAGAGATAGGTGCCTGGGAAGATAATGAATGGCCTCCCCAGCGTATTATAGATTATTATGGGCCAGCCACGTGGGCAGAGGATGGTACCTTTGGTTATAGAACCCCTATTTATATGCTCAACCGCATTATAAGGTTACAGGCGGTGGTTGAGATCATTACTAACGAGACATCACAAGCGCTCAATCTTCTAGCGAAGCATAATACCAGGATGAGGACAGCAGTTTACCAAAATAGATTAGCCTTGGATTATCTTTTGGCAGTAGAGGGAGGTGTATGTGGGAAGTTTAACCTGAGCAATTGCTGTCTTCAAATAGATGACGAAGGGCAAGCAATAGCTGAGCTTACTAGCCATATGGTTAAACTAGCGCATGTGCCTACTCAGGTATGGAAAGGGTACAATCCAAGTAGTTGGTTTGGTAGCTGGTATGAGTGGTTTGGAGGGCTTAAGGCAGTGGTAGGTGGAGTCCTACTGATTTTAATGTTGTGTCTACTCCTGCCGTGTCTTATACCCTTAGTAGTTAGGTCTGTGCAAAGCCTGATAGAAAATATAGCAGAGAGGAAGGCTGCCGCACAGATAATGGCAATTTATAAATATAAGGCTCTAGATCAGGGAGAACCAATGCAGGAAGACGAGTGTTGAAGATTCACATCATAGGATAAGTCTGGTCTGGTTCAAAGGTAACTTGTGGTGTATGTAAACCAAGGTTAAGTGATGCCTCAAGTAATTGTAAAATATCAAGAGGCATCAAAGGGGGGAATGTGGTGGAATCTCGGTAAAAATAAATTTAGTAGGCCGAGATTACCACATGGCATGTGTACGTGCATATGCTGACGTATCGATCAGTTGGTTGCACGAGGCAAGATACGATCAGTAGTGTACGGAGCATGTGCAAGAATACAGGATGTAGTATTCCCCTCCTCCATTGTGCTGGACAAGCCATGTGGTCAAGCAGGAAGTTAATTCTTATTTGTAATGATTGGTCAAGAGAATGTGCGGGTGGAGCTTAATATGGGAGGAGTTATGTGCCTATATAGGAAGCCTGCACTATTGTTCAGGGCTCAGAACTTGCTGTATTTTTGGTGACATTAGTCCCTCTGAGTCCCGATCGGTGATCCAATAAAGAATCTCTTCCTTCCTGAAGAAACCTGTGTCCATCCCTCTGTGCTTTGCTTCCGTCAGTTTCTCCGGTATCACCTATAGTAGCCATTTAATCTATACACTGAGCTACCTAAAATGAAAGTCAATGCATACATGAACTGTTTTTTACCACTGAATCTTTTACCTTTCTGGTCTAGAACTAGATTTCCATACAGGAGCAGTGAGTGACTCCTCAATTCAAAGGTGGCATTCGATAAAATGTTAGAACGAATACTTACTTATAAAATTAAAAACATTCAGCTTTATTCACCATTAGGTGACATTTAAATCATGTGCCATGGAAATTTGCAGCTATTCTGACTATTCAAGTATTCCTTGCCGCAGAACGATCATCAAGAAAATACATGTTTTAATATAAAGTATATCTAATTTGCCAGCTGCATCTATCATCCACTAGATTTACAGGAGACAGGTTTAATTTAGGTTTTATGGTGTAGATTGCACCTGTCCATTACAGAACAGTCATAGGAGGGTAATAATTGTATAATTTAATTATAAAAGGAAAATATTTTTTGTTTTTTCTTTGTGTGTGTGTATTTGATAAAAACAATCCAGATGAGGATCCTATACTCACAGTGCCTAAAGAGGTATCAGCAACCCCTCACTGACAAGGCCCAAAGAAGGCCAAACTGATCGTCCAAGCTTGCTACATCTCTTGTGCAGAGGAAACGTGCTGGCATTTCACTTCTGGACGGACCTTATGGGTGGAATCAGTCTGATATGCAAATGGTATAGGTTCTTTTTGTAATGACACAAGTGAGAAAAAACATTTTTGAGACCTGAGCATGGACTCAAAAAGCTACCGAGTTACTCTAAGAAGGGCAAGCTACTGAGTTTGTCTAGGCTTTTTGCCCGTTCTCATATTCTCTGTTTTTGTTTCAGCCAAAATAAACGGTTTAGGTATACCAACAGCTACAAATATACTTCAGATATAATAAAAAAAAACATGAAGAAGCATCTCTCTCACCAGATCCAGTATGCTCACGATCCTTCTTGGTCTCATGTTATATAGTGCACATAGTTGATGGTTAAACAATCAGAAAAAATATGCCAATAAGCAGTGCCGGATTTCCACTTTCTTACAGGCACACTTCTTGTAGACGGAGCCATTTGTTTACACTTACAATGTGCCTTTCTGAGCTTAAAGGGACACTAAAGAGTTAGGAATACAAACATGTATTCCTCATGCTATAGTGCCCCTGTCCCTAGTTATTTTACTGCCCTCCTCCCCCCACTTCATTCCAATAAAAATTAAGGGGAAAAAAAATATATATATATATATGTTGTTGTTTTTTTTTACCTTGTTCCAGGAGCTTCAGTGCTGCTCAGTATATCAGTTGCTAGAAGTTGATTTTACCTGCAATGTACCCATTACAGTTTCTAAAAAACAAAACAAACAAAAAAACGACAATGTTTTACAGTGAGATTAAGTGATCTGGGTGACTTTATTTGTCCATTAATTAGTTGATCCATTATCCACTTTACTATTACCTTGGTCACTATCCTTCACGTTATCTATCAGTGCTCCACATTTTAACCATACCATTTTGACTGCCAGGCTATTAATAGATATCAAAACATCACATGTAAACGTGGTCATTTTCTTCTAATTTTTGCTTGTGATTGTCTAAATGAAATGGATATCCTTTGCTTAGCAGATGCGATTTTAAAATCGTAGATTTTGCATTTTCTTTTTTACTTGTATTAGTTAATTAAATAATATTACAGGCAACGGCTTATAATTTATGAAATTAACTAGGGAAAGGAAATTCTCCTATTAAGCCATTTCTTAGCATTATTAGTTATCAATACTTTATTGGTTTAGAGTAGACTAAGAAGGCTATTCACCAAACTCTGAACTGAAGAAAATCAAAATCTGAATAGGAACACTTAGGCTACAACAGCTGGTCTGGGAAAATTCCCCAGCTCTGGAAATATTACAGCATGTTTTATGGCTATTTTGGCATGTTTTGCCATTTGGATTGTACATCTCTACAATTCTGAGTTTACTGAATGAATATTCTATTGGTGGGTTGTGGGTTTGTACTTTAAATAAATAAAACATTTTCTTTCTAAATATCGGCATATATGTTGTTCGAATATTTTAACAGGAGACTTGTTACTGAAGAAACTAAAAATATTTTTAGTACAAACATGTTAAATTGCCCTTGAACCTTACAGGGTTAATATGGAGTAATATGTGTGTATACAAAAAATTGCCTGTAGGGTAATTCCTCAATTGGGCATAGAAAGTTTAACATTTCAGTCATATTACAATATTTATAACAAATACAGGTTGGTAAAGTGCTCTAACAGTTTATGTTAAATATGTACATACTGAGGGTGTAGCAGACCATTCGTGGAATGTAAATAATCTTTTGTATCTACCAGAACAGCTGACTTCCAGTAACCCATACTGTATTTAGGGGGAGGGCTCCTGGAAGGAATTCAGGATGTGAGTGTTGGGCAATCCGATGGGGGGTGGGATTAAAGAAAGGGAGGGGGGTTATGTGCTGACTCTTTGCAGTTTAACACAGAGGAGGAGTATGGCAGCAAGCTAGAATATAAATACTGATAACTGGTTTGTTGAATAAGAATAACAGGACGTGAGCCTTGTGTCTAGGTAGGTGATAATGTTGTTTGTACACTTTGTTGCTGAATTGTGTGTGTAGTAATATGCTGGGGGGTACGACTTGATGTTTGTGCTGGTGGGTTAGAGAGGCGTTAACTGTGTGTGATCCCCAGCTGGCAAACAACTTGCTTAATGTAGAATGTCCTGAAGGAGGCTCTTGTGTGAGAGGTAAATGGCTGCAATGGGTTTAATGCTGGAAATATTCTCATTCAGAGACAGAGCATTTCAGGGCTATTTAGTAAAGTAAGAATTCAAAGTGAATGTCCAGATTAAGACCAGGGTTTCTGAATGGAAAGCACAGCCTCTAGAATGTAAGCTCATTGAGCAGGGCCCCCTGTGTGTCCAGTTGTCTGGTTACAATTACATGTCTGTTAGGCCACCCATTGTATAGCGCTACAGAATCTGATGGCGCTATATAAATAATAAAATTATATATATATATATATATATATATATAGATTTTTTTTTTTTTTTCTTTTTCCTCTGCCCAGTATTTTGACCTTAACCCCTTAAGGACACATGACATGTGTGACATGTCATGATTCCATTTTATTCCAGAAGTTTGGTCATTAAGGGGTTAAATTTGAAATTGACTTTGACTTCTCAAGTTGGCAAATGACCAGAGTTAATTCAGTGAACAGTAGGTTTATACTCGGAAGCTGATTGTTGGGATGAAAATAATCCATTATAAATAGTTATTAACTAAATGGATAACTGTGAAATTGAAAAAGGAATTTTACATTTTAGGCTGAAAGAACAGTTGGAAAAATAGATCCCTTTTTTTTAATGGAACTTTTTACTTATTGAGGAATGTTTACAAGGCTGCATAATGCATTGGAGGTAAGTGTAAAAACACACTCGCCTCCACTGCTAACTTGTTCTGGGTGACTTTGCACCCCTATTCCTCATCTGCAGCAGAATACTGTAGAAGTGCATGTGTATTCAGGCACGCCTTCAGTAGTCCCAAAGTAGACTACACGGCACTGCAGGGGTTAAACAAGGTATGCTGTGTAAACTAAATTTAAAAAAAAATGTGTATAGGTAGCTTTTAGTGATAATTATGTCACGAATGGACCACTTTTTATTTGTTTCTGTTCTTGTAGAATGAATAGAATATCATGGTAAGGGCTGTTTGTGTGACCAAAATGGGCCACCAGTTTGCATTTAAAATATATATATATTTGTACTAATTCATTTTCAAAGTAACTTTAAGGAACTATAACCACTACAGCTTGCTTAAGAATGGTTTGATATAAACTGTCCCACGACGCCTCTGAACCAGATTGGCAAAGCAGAGTTTACAGAACCACTTTATCACTGTCCTTTTTGGCTAGCGTATGGATTCAGAAACCTGCAAGAGAGGGGGATTGAAAACCTAAACAAATACTGCATACATTTATTCAGATTTTATAGTCCTATTAGTTCAGTAGTAATCCTATTTACTGCTGAATATGTTGATATTTACTAAAGTTAAAACTTATAATTTCAGGCAAAAATGATCACACTCACAACATAGCTGACTTAGAGACTTGTTCAAAGTTGGCTATTTTGTTCTACAATATATATAAAAAAAACAACAACAATAATCTCTCTTAGAATTCCCATCTATTCGCAAGTAAGTGAATAACCCGGTATATAAAACACAATAATAAAATGTAATCTATGTGTGTTGCTGGGAATTTTTGGGGGGATTTCCAGGCTGCAATTTGGGAGAGGGTGGAGCATCAACTCTTTGTCTACTTCAAAGGATACAGAGCAGCTCAGTTCACATGACAGCAGCAGGATATTCTATCATACATGCTGCACAACACTAATCACTATACTAAATATTTATTCACTTGTGTGTAAAATAAATCTTTCTGTGATTCTAAATGCTTAGTTTCTTCCAGAAAAGGCAGAAATCACATGCACCATAGGGTTTCCCTATTCCTTCTGTTTAAAGGTTTGTTTGTTTTTTGGGCGGGTTGAATAAAAACCTAGGTTCCCACCACCTTATTATAAAATTAGATATTTTTTTTTTAAATCTTCTAGAGCTGAGGCTCACTTGGTGCTGCCTCTCCACCTCCTATGACATCACAGAAGAGGCATAGCCTCCTCTAGTGTAATTCAATCCAACGCCAATGAGGAGCATTAAAGGGATACGCCAGGCACCCAGACCATTTCTGCCAATTGGAGTGATCAGGGTGCCAACAACCCTGCAAGTTTAATTATTGCAGATGGGGGGTGGGAGGGAGAGGGGCACTACAGGGTCCTGCAGTGCCAGGAAAACTAATATCTTTTCCTGGCACTGGAGAATCCCTTTAATGACCTGATGCTATGTGGTGAGCACCTTGCTCTCATACAAGCTCCCCCATAGGAAAACTAATGACAGTGTGTATGCATACATACACATTCATCTGCAAGGAGGCACCACTTCCCATATATATATATCTCTCTCAAGGTTATGGGTGCCCTAATTTCTTGTTGTCTGCTAGCAAAAATGCCACTTTATTCATTTTCTCCACACACTCCTATTTATTTATTTATTTATTTTTAAAGGTGAAATTTTGTCTTGTAGATTTGTGGGTTAATTTTACATATTTGAGTAGCTGTGATTGCTATTTTTATTCTAGTGTGCAGATTAACCATTTTTTGAGTATCCTGATGCTTGTATCCTGCTGGAATTCTAACACTAACCTGATTATATATATTTTTTTTTTTTCTACTCCTTCTGTCCATAATTCAGATGTTACAATGGCAAACAATTCTAGCAATGTGGAAACCGAGCAGACTACAACTTGCTTGCACTTGACCTTTTATCATCCACAAAATCATAGGCAAAATATATTTGGCGCTATTCCGCTACGAACACCACAAGAAATAAAGGCAGAGGCAACTGTAGCATTTGGTCGAGATGTAAATACTTGCAAATATGTATTTCTGTGCAACAGAGCTTCCCGGATTCAGTTCGTCATACAGTTCTTCAAACCATTGCATCATGGCGGCCCTGCCTTTGAAATAAAAAATGTGAGCAAGAAAGCAAAGTTGTACGTTGACCACCTCGAGCTGAATTACTTGAACAAGGTTGATCTTCCTGCCAAATGCATAATACAGTTTGGGGACTTTCAGATGTTGTTAGAGAAAGAAGAAGGTGAATCAGAAGATGTGTTTGAGATATCTTGTGATGTGTCTCGGACCCCCCTTGTTCAGGAAACTCAAGAACGTTTAATGGTCTCAATACCTGAAAATGGCATATTAAATGGGTCAGCTCCTCCAACTATTCTTAAATGTTCAATTGCAGAAGAAACTGATGAAAATCAATTGTGACTCACCCAAACAAGGACATTGGGACTTGAACTTCACAGTATAGAACTATATTTATATCTATTTTATTGTATAAATGTCTGTTATAGGCATATAAAGAGTGTTTTTGGTTTTTCCTTTAATGTATATTTATTTTGTAAACACCAATCCTACGTTACCCAATAGTTAATCGGTCCCCAGATTGGTGATATGCTGACTTGTGCTTTTTAAGTATCAGTGTTGGACTTAAGGGATATCCAATACCATCTCCTAGCTGGTAAAGGGAATAGAATTCTAATTTGGTATATAAACAGTAGAAAGAGACAAGACTAGTATGGCTGAAATGGAAATTTAGAAGCAGATGGTCAGAAGAATACTTCTGGTGAAGGGAATCACACAGCCTAAATGTTGACTGGGGAACAATTTATTATTGGTTAAAATTAGTGAAAAGTCCAAGATTATCATGAGTTAAAAATATATAACTGGATTTTTACATTGGTAGTGGAAAATTGCCTCTATCCTTTTTTTTTTTTTTTTTTTTACTGGGGTATGTGTTACTTGATGGAAGGCAGGCGCTACACAGGTGTGGATGACTCTTCAGTGTGTAATAAACTATTTGACCAGTTATAAAACCAATTCATGTAATTTTTACAAATATTTATAGTCAAGTGTTGCTAACTTTTATGTTTGGTATTATAACCATTTTCAGTCAATATCAGACCTCAACATTCATTAATGCCTAACATTTTAGGATATGTTTGTTTTATTAAAAACTGTAATATTTGTGCCCATTTTTGGTTTAAAACAACTACCCTGACCTGCCACCTTACTGATGTTACATGATGTACCAGTATTGGTTTTATTTATCTATTTTTAAATTGTATCATACTTACAATATGTGTGTGTATATATAACAAGTTAACCCTGTCAAGAAGAACAGAAGCTCTTAAATCGAGATGAGATTGGGAGATCCCCCACTTCCAGACTCACTCACTTCTCTCAGATAATTCTAAAATGTTGTATTATGCTGTAAAGTATGTTCATGCACATGTCATTTATATTGTACTGACTAGCTGGATGGCTGTCATGAATAAAGAATTAAGAAAAAATAAAACTGTGGTTATACCAGCTTAGAGAAGTTCCTGCTGTATGCATTTCTTCTGGGACACTGCCTTAGCTGGATGGTGTGGGTAATGGTCCTATGGCGTTTGGGTCACCGCAGCTGCTATTACAGGGTGCACTCACCGCTGCCACCTATCACAGGCCCCTTCTGCCGATGGAGTCATCGCTTCTTGACGGAACCCGGACGATGGGTTCAATGGGCAATGGTAACTCCTCTCCTGTGTGACCGGCAGCCACAGGCGTTGATCCTGGCCAGAAGTCTGCGAAGTCGTCAGCCGGTGTGCAGGTAGGCCCAGCCTGGTCTATTGCTGTCAGTGTGACACGAGGCATCCACCATTTTAGTGAGAGAGTTCCCTGTAGCAGAATTATAACTCTGAGTTGCAATAGGGTCCCCAAGGAGAGGACAGGGATCACCCCCATCAGTCCAAAGGGGGGGGGCGACGGAGGAATGAGGCCAGAACCACATAGCGACAAAGATTCGGCTTGCAGACACTGGGCAGGATATTGGGGCGGCTGTCCACACCACTCACCATCTGGTTAGGCCTCAGCTACCACGTCATCAAAGCACCCTCTCCAGGGGCCAAAATTCACAGGGAGCATGTAGCTTTGAAACCAGCACCCCTGTGCATGCAGGGCTGCTGCTTCTGGTATGTATTTAGGTTGGTTAATCATTGATTTTCTACTTTGTTGCCAAGAATCTGCAGGAGCCAATAGTCTATGCGACAATTCAGAATGGCGGTCCAGTCCCGCCCCCTACAGGTTATCTTATATGGCATATATTGTGCCTTAACTTGCCACCAATTTCTGTCAATGTTTGTGGTGAGGAGAAAAAAATTAGCATTTTATACATACATTTTTGCTGGGTATATCATACACTTGATATGTGCTACTGTCATAAAATCCCCCAATTTATGCTCAGTTACGTCTTCTGAGTAAGACAATATTCCCAATGTATGACCTAGACACTATTTTGTGAAGTTTCAGTGCTGTAAAAGAGACGTGATGATTTCAGGTTTTTAAGTGTGCATTTTCGTAGATGGTATTGATGGATGGGGGACGTCGGTTCACAGATGATCTCTCATTTTCATGGTATCTACCTGTGCTGGTACACCTCTGGTCAGGTCGGGGTCTGGGGCCTGCCTCCAATCCCGCCTACAGGGTCCATCTCCAAATCCCGCCCACAGGAATACACACACAGACACAAACACACATACTGATACAAAAGGACACAGATACATACTAACAGACACACATACTGAAACAGACATACACGCATATAGGCATACATACTGAGACATACACTCACATACAGACAAATAGGCATACATAGTGACAGACAGACACATACTAACATACATATAGACACACATGCATAAGAACATACAGACACATACATACATATACACCGATATATATACATACATACATACATACACACAGACATACATTAATAATGACATACAGACGTACATACATTCATACTGGCATATATACATACAGACATACTGTCATACATACAGACACTGACATCCATACATACACAGACATACATTCATAATGGCATACAGACATACATGCATATATACAGACATACTGAGACATACATACATTCATAAATACTGACATACATGCATACTGACATCCATACACACATACGTTCATAATGACATGCAGACATACATTCATACTGACATGCAGACATACTGACATACAGACATACATACATATATACATACATAATGAGATACAGACATGCATTGATACTGGCATACATTCATAATGACATACATACAGACATACATATATACATACTGACTGACATACAGACATAATGACATACAGACATACATTGATACTGGCATACATACATAATGACATACAGACATACATTGATAGATACATACATACATACAGACATGCATTGATACTGGCATACATACATACATAATGACATACATTCATACATACAGACATACAAACAGACATTCATACAGTCATAGATACAGACATACTACATTCATACTGACATACATACAGACATACATAATGACATACAGACATACATGCATACAGACACACACACACACAAAGCTCATTTTTCAGCCACCCTCCTGTTTCTTACATTTTCTTTGCAGGAGGGTGGCTGGGGCTGATAGGAGTCGGCTGGCTCTCCCTCTTCACGGCCTGGCTGGTGTTCCTCCCGCGTGGAGTGAGCTTGCTGCGGCTGCAGTTTTTTTTTTAAAGGGACCTGGTCGCGCTATTACATGGCCACAGCGCTGACCGGGCCCTGAAGATATAGGGCCCATCGGGTGGCTCTAAGTGCGTGGGCCATCTGATGGGCCCCATCAGCATGCGGGCCCCGGTGCAACTGCACCAGCGGCAATTCCGCTGCTACACGTGGGGGCCGGGCGGCCAGGGCCACCAGGCCCGTGACAACCGTCATGGTTGTCACCCCTTGATGGCGGCCCTGCCTCTGGTACGTGGAACAAAGGGGGTTTGCGTATGCTTAGGATCCTTTTTCCGCTAGCTTATACCAAGTGTAGTGGTAATAAGCATTCATTTTCCTTTTTTAAATCTTTTTTTGAAACTTTTTATAACTTTTTTTACTTTTTCTTTTAATACTTAACTAGCCAAACCTTAAATCCCCCAATTTACCACTAACTTCCACCCATCCTAGATAAATAAATAAATAATTTGAAAATATTTAAATAACCAATCAAATAAATGTAACCGCTGAGCGTTAAAAGTTAATCCTCAGAGGTTAAAAAAATTAGGTTACACTAAAATACTGTGTACTGTGATCAAAGGGCAGGAAAGGTGCTCAACTTTATTAGAAAGGGGTGAGGGGGAAGTGGAAATTTAACTTGGCACTTTTTTTTACAGGGAGAAACAAATCTGCAGCGATCCGTCTCCCTGCATTTCACAATGAACACGGAAGATCAGCGCTCCCTGAAGCATATGTGCTCGCTCTGATAGGCAGTCAGAGTGACCACATGTGCAGGGACCGCACAATTAACTGCTCCCCGTCTGCCTGGGATACTGAAGCAGACTGCAGCAGCCTTAACCCCGTGATCTCCGGTTAATATTAGTAAATGACAGAAATTTCTCGTCATGCTTCCTTAAGGGTAGGACAGAAAATTTCCATTTAGCATTGTGACTAGGTTAAACTGTAGTGGTTCTGGTGACTATAGTGCCCCTTTAAGAATTGTATTTTTTGTTGTTGAAAATAAAGCTTTGTTAGTTTAAAAAAAAAAAAGTCTCCTAACTTTTTTTAGCTGGCTCCTAGATTCAAAGCAAATTTGACAAGCCCTGTCCTATTAAGCTATGTGCACAATATACTTTTATATTGGATTGATAATAGTTTATAGTCCCATTGGAAGGGGCTCCTCGCTTAAATTGCCCTATTCCGTGACATAATCCTGATCACATGTTAACCCATGTTAATCCCGTACACCTTGGGCACCAATCGGAATATACTTGTGACCCGCGACATCGGAGTTTCGGTCCTGTGTATCTGTGGCCTAGTGCGGGCCATGCTCGGAGTGGCAGCCAACCTCCTCAGTGGAGTCCCGCGGGATGAGTTGCACCCGGGACCTATTCCCTGCCCCCCGGATCGGTGAGGGTCATCACGGTCCCCTCTGTGCCGACTTCCAACGTCAGAGCACACGATTTGCCGCTCCTGCCTCACCTTCTACTAGCAAAATGGCGGAGGTACTTCATTGAGGACCTTGGAATTTGCAAGCTTATGAGTCCGTGGCTCAATGATGCCTGCCTCTCTTCTGACCTGGGGCTTTGGGGCTGTCAAGCCTTAGAACCGCACAGTTACCACCGGCAGTGATCTCTTGGCTCCCCTCTTCAACCTCCCGAGTGAGGAAATAGGCTGAACGTGGACTCCATATTGCATATAGCCGTCTGTACACGCATTTTATATCACAACACATTGCAAACTTTAAACGCAATATCTGTTGTTATAATATTCACTAATTTGCTCTTTTGTCTCTTCTTTTGTATCTCTACCTTCTTTTATATATGAGTTGTGATTAACAGGGTGTTGGCATGGCACAGTGGAATAACCATAAGCAGTTATGTGGTCTTTAGGCATTAGACACAAGCAGAAAGCCTCTTAGATAGTGCACCTAATGCAGGGCCTGATTAACATAGGGGCTGATGGATCTGCAGCTCCAGGCCTAAGCCCATGGAATAGGCCCATTGATTTAAAACACTACTCTTGCCAGGTATTTCTCAGAAGTATTTCTCAGGTATTTGAGGCTGCCTAGCCAGTGCTGGTATTGCAGTAATACTGGCAATGCAAATGTCAGTCTCAGTATAAACAGAGATTATTCTGCAATACCCGCACCGGGCAGTAGGGGTCACTGTGTGTGTGGAGAGAGACAGGGATAAGAACACAGAGAGTCCAGACAGCAGCTCCGAGCCTGCAGACACAGCCAACAACTCAGGTAAGTGAGGGATGGGAGGGAAAGGCTGGAGGGAGACCTGGGGACACAGACACTAGGGGGCACTTGGAGACACTAGGGGACACTGTGAGACATGGGGACACTGAGACACTAGAGGGCACTGGGAGATCTGGGGACACAGACACTAGGGGAAACTGTGAGACATGGGGACTGTAAGAAACTTGGGGACACTTAGACATTGTCCCCATGTCTCCCAGCTAGTGTCCCTAGTATCTCAGTGTCTCCAAGTGTCCCTGGTGTCTCTCAGTGTCTGTAGTGTGCCAGTGTCCCTAGTGTATCAGTGTTTCCTAGTCTCCCAAAGTCCCCTAGTCTTCCAGTGTCTCAGTGTCCCAATGTCTCCCAGTGTCCCCATGCCTCCCAGTGTCTCAGTGTCCCCTAGTATAAAATCTCAGGCACTCACTGAGATAGATTTAAGCAGGTTTATTGGACACCGCAATGTTTTGACCTGTACCCAGGTCTTTATCAAGTCTCCAGTGCCCCCTATGTATCACAGTGTCTCATGTCTCCCAGTGTCCCTAATGTCTCTCAGTGTCCGTAGTGTCTCAGTGTCCTTAGTGTCTCAGTGTCTCCTAGTCTCCCAGAATCCCTTAGTCTCGCAGTGTCCCCATGTCTCACAGTGCCAAGTGTCTCAGTGTCCCCTGGTATAAAAGAAAAAAAATCTCAGGCACTCACTGTGATAGATTTAATCAGGTTTATTGGACACCGCAACATTTTGACCTGTACCCAGGTTTTTTTCAAGTCTCCAGTGTCAATCTCCCCTATGTATCAGTGTCCCCTATGTGTCACAGTGTCTCAGTGCCCTATGTCTCCCAGTGTCCCCTCCTGTCTCAAAGTCACGCAGTGTCCCCATGTCTCCCAGTCTCCCCAAGTGTCTCAGTGCCCCCAGGTCTCCCAGTGTTCCCTAGTATCGCAGTGTCCCCATGTCTCTCCATGTCCCCCTAGTGACATGGGGACACTGGGAGAAATGGGGACAAAGGCACTAAGGGACTGGGCGACATTGGGACACAGACATGCCCCCTTTTTGGGTATGTTCGCCCCTTTCTGCACTACTGGTTATGTGATTTGCGTCAGTGGCCCACCCCTTTACCCCGTCCATAGACTTCCTGCTTTACTGGACACTGCGGTTAGGGGGTATGCATTTACTTGAAGGATGAAAGCGTGAGATTAGCTTGACTGTCATGGTGGAGAGATGCATCGTGAGCAAGCTCCTCCACTATCCTGATCCTTCTTGTGCCTTCACTTGGCCCGTCAGAGTTAAGAATAAGAATTTATTGCCCATGCACATCCCTAGTCCCTAGTGAGCATTAAGTGGGAGAGGCGGCCAATCTTCAGGCCCCTTTACCCCCTTGTTTGTTCCAGTGGGGGTGATCCCGGTCCACACCTGAGAGGCTACCCGTACTCCACAAGCTGGCGGGGAGAAACCATCAGAGCTGTAGATAATTGCGTCAGCTCACCTAAGATAATGGAGACCACATGTCTAATTATCTTTCATGCTGCACAACTTGATTTTGAGGCTAATCTGAACAAACAGCTGAAGCGCAGGGCCAGTGAGCCCTGGCGATGACAAGTTGTCCAAGAAGCCTGCATCCGGCAGTCTTAGAGACTCCCACTGCATACCTGGCGGCGGAATTCAGCGATAACATTAAGGAGGACCTGAAAATGGCGGAAACAGATGAACCGCCACAACATAAACATACCCGGGCGCAACTTACTAACGGGTCGGCTCGAGAGGTGGACCTGCTCTGCTTTGTCCTGGAGACTGGCTTGCTTGGGAGGACTTTGGGGCACCGGCTGGGCAAATCTCCTTTCTCCACTATGGTGCTGCTGAGGCCCATGTCTGGATCCTTGTGCCTGATGACAGCGTTGTTCTGTGCCTCAGAGAGGAACTGGAATCTTAGAGAGGGTTGTAGTCAATGCAGTATATTCTAAGCAAGGTCTAGTTACCATTGGGGTATCTTAGTAATATGTAGTTGGACCCATTCTCTTTAATATTTTTATTAGTGATATTGCAGAAGGTCTTAATGGTAAGATATGTCTTTTTGTTGATGTTAAAAGATTTGCAACATGGTTACTGTTCCAGGAGGGATAAACCAAATGACAAATGATTCAGGTACACTAGAAAATGGTCAGAGTTGTGGCAACTGACATTTAATGTTGATAAGTGCAAGATAATCCATCGTGGGTATAAAAACCCAAGGGCAGAGTATAGAATATTTGATACAGTAAAAACCTCAACATCTAAGGAAAGGGATTTGGGGGTAATTATTTCAGATGACTTAAAGGTAGGCAGACAATGTAATAGAGCAGAAGGAAATGCTAGCAGAATGCTTGATTGTATAGGGAGAGGTATTAGCAGCAGAAAGAGGGAAGTGCTCATGCCATTGTACAGAACACTGGTGAGACCTCACTTGGAGTATTGTACGCAGTACTGGAGACTGTTTCTCCAGAGGTGCATCGTGAGCAAGCTCCTCCACTATCCTGATAAGAAATCCTTCTTGTGCCTTCACTTGGCCCGTCAGAGTTAAGCTGTGAGATGAATTTTCTCCTCAGACTTACGTGGCACACTGCTGAAGTTCACACCTTCACCCATTGTAACAATGCAATGTTTTGTGAACCCAGGACATACTTGAAAACAAGAGAAATCTCAATGTATCCATCCTGGTAAAATATTTTATAAATAAATAAATATTGATACTTTGGAAAAAGTTCAGAGAAGGGCTACTAAACTGGTTCGTGGATTGCAGGATAAAACTTTCAAGGAAAGGTTAAAGGATCTTAACATGTATAGCTTGGAGGAAAGACAAGACGGGTTGATATGACAGAAAAATTGAAATACATGAAGAGAATCAACACAGTAAAGGAGAAGACTATATTTAAAAGATAAAAAACTACCACAACAAGAGGACATAGTCTTAAATTAGAGGGGCAAAGGTTTAAAATAATAGCAGGAAGTATAACTTTACTGAGAGGGTAGGGGATGCATGGAATAGCCTTCAAGCTGAAGTGGTAGAGGTTAACACAGTGGGATAGGCATAAGGCTATCCTAACTATAAGATAGGGCCAGGGACTAATGAAAGTATTTAGAAAATTGGGCAGACTAGATGGGCCAAATGGTTCTTATCTGCTGTCAGATTCTATGTCGGCTTGCACTAATCCCCCTCAAATGATCTTAGTTTATTTTTTGATTTAACAGCCACTTCATGCAGTATTGTTTTTACTTAAAGTTTATTCCGAGTTTCATGCTCACTACGGTTGCATAGAGATGTTTTTCTTGCGAAGCTTGAAGCTTGATTATGCTAAGGGAGCTCCTGGGTGTTTTATTGTTTTTATTGTTTATACTCTCTATGTCTCTAGTTTGTTTTTGTTTTTTTTAAATGCTAGCTATGCATCCCTTGCTTCAGTTAAATGTTATGCTAATATTTTTCAATCAACAAGTACTCGGTAGTGAAGGGGTTAAACTCTGATTTGTGCTATGCCCAGACACATTGAAATAACTTTTTAGGTTAATTTCTGCTATATAAATTGTTTATTTAAATGACACATGCATTTGTATAAAATATTATTTTATATCATGTATCTAGGCTTTTCTTTTAAATCATTTTGATACGTGCTTTAGGATTTTAGAGTAATACCATTCACATTTCAATGCACTGTGCGTCAATTCTGTGCAACTTTAACTTTAGAATGTCAGTCATTGGCTGAGAGCAGTCAGCTGTTGCTCTTAATCAATAAATGGTAACGGCTGTGGCTCTGCAGAAGCCAGAAGCGTGTCACCGTTCCACCAGTTAGCATGCGAGCCCAGCAAGGACCCAAGTAGGGGGCCATTGAGGCTGTGGTTATAATGATTGGAGTAACCCTAGAACCCATTGTCTTGAGCCATTTGATTATGATTTATGGGTTGTTGTTTTTTGTACAGAATAAGCAATGCAGACGCGTCTAAATGTTGCTAATGCATATTATTACCAACTCAAGTACTCCGTGTTTGCTGATGGCATTTTCAAACATTTTTATATTCATGTCAAAAGCTTTATTATAGTCTGACAAGAGTTGTCATGTTTATACATTTGTTTTTTTTTACGTTTTTTTTTTTTTGTGGTTTTCTTGTAAGTTACCTTTGAATCAAAATTTTCCACATTCTGATTTTAATAGGGAAACTATTTATTATGTTTTTCAATGAAGGGAAGACCTCAACTGTATAGGTTCCTACTTGTACGTATCCTTATTTTTAATATTGGAGAACATGTACCTATTAGTTAACTTAATCACAATGACAATAAAAAAAAAAAAATCAACCTGCAAAAAATATTTAATTAGATTTTAGGGAGTTTGAGATCTGAGTGGAAACTAATCGAAAGAGCTATTGTGCTATTGTCTGTTAAAAGTATAGATTTTCAGAAAAGAGGAGCAGATTATCACAGTATTAGAGTTGAAGAGTAATGTCCAATAGAAAAAATAGGATAACTCTATGTAACTATGTGGCTGTGTATGTCTCAACAACTCGACTGACTCATCTTTTAGCTTAAGGGCTGCAACACTTCCATCCCATAATGCACTGTAATGAGATGTTGAAACTGCCTTTGGCTATTCTTTAAAAGCATATACATTACTCATAAAGACAGTTGGAAGGGGATTTTCTTTACTTGAAGTGTAGGGTTTTCCATATTAACATTTAATTAGCTGATGAAATTAGTCTGTAATACTCAAAAACAGTATCTCTCAACTTATTTGTATCATAAACAACTAACTTAAGGTCCCATATCTATTAAATTGTGTTATACTTTTTATTGACCTATGAAAAAAAAGTTGATCATATTACTGTAAATTAATAGAAAACATTGATCAATACACAGGGTAACAGGAGGATTTTTGAGGGAGAATTATGTCAGGGGGGGCCAAAACTTATCGACATGGGATTTAATTTTTGATAGACTAAAATGATCTGCCACCATACCAGCTGGCATTAATGACACTTTCACGAGATACTGGGGTACATGTAGTGTAATTTATACTGTTTGTAGCATCATCACTATTTGAATGTTTAGTGTATTTCTGTGGAGTATCAGTATTTGAATGTTTGGTTTATTAAATCAAGAAATCTTCATCATCTGACAGTCACCACACAATTAATTTGTTTTCACCCCTGGTGGGGTGAGAAGCCTGATATATCATCTGTTTGTGAGTTTTCTACCAACATCACATATTTCCCAATTTTATACTTATTTTGTATTATGCTATGTTTTGTTTGTTATTATTATAGATCTCTAATTTGTCTTCGGATCCTGGTTCATATTTCCAGGTGTTGCAATTTTTTGTATACGTATACTGAGTGCTTTTTCCCACCTTTCTTTATTTTATTTCTGTGGTGTATCAGTATGTGAATATTTAGTGTATTTCTGTGGAGTATCAATATGTGAGTGTTTGGTGTATCTCTGTGGTGTATCAGTATGTGAATGTTTGGTGTATTTCTGTGGAGTATCAATATGTGAATTTTTTGTGTATTTCTGTGGAGTACCAATATGTGAATGTTTGGTGTATCTCTGTGGTGTATCAGTATGTGAATGTTTAGTGTATTTCTGTGGTGTATTAGTATGTGAATGTTTGGTGAATTTCTGTGGTGTATCAGTATGGGAATATTTGGTGTATTTCTGTGATGTATCAGTATGTGAATGTTTCGTAATTGGTTAGGTGTTAAGTGGTTCATTTAGTGCTCTGCCTACCGGGTGTGATGTCGCTGGTATCTTGGAGGTCTCCCCCAGATTCCAGCACCATCTTGTTAATGAGGGTATTAGTCGATGTTAAAGGGCAAACTCCCCAGCGGCCATTTTAGGTAAAACACATAGGAAGTTGAGTAATGCTGATCATAGTTATGTTGAGTAAATAGGCAATTTACTAACATGGATTGAGTTAATATTTTTGTCCACAACATGAATGTTCTGTGAATTTCTGTGGCATATCAGTATATGAATGCTTGGTGTATTTCTGTGATGTGTCAATATGTGAATGTTTGGTGTATTTCTGAGGAGTATTAGTTTGTGTGCCTGGAGGTTGAGTGTAGCGTGTACAGGCAGTATGATATTTTAATGGGGTGTGTGTAAATACATTTTTTAATTCTACCCTCCTTTCTTCTAAACCCAACTTTTTGCTTTTCTTCTAATGCCTTTAGTACCTCTCCACTGTTTCTGTTTTGTAATGCCTCTCTACTCCTCATGATAAATCAATCATTATATATTAATAACTATATCCTCCTTTTTTTACTGTATATTGTGGCTGAGTTATGCAGAATTGGCCTACTTTCCTTGCCAGGCTATTGCCTTTGCGTAGTGATGGAACTACTAAACAGAGGGTAAAAAAAACTGCAAAAAATGTTTGCAAAATTAATAAAAGGAGAGGCAATTCACTGATATATGACAATCCATCGGCTGTACTATAAACACACTTTGTAATTAAAAAAAGTAAGGGTTCAACAGAAAACAGCTGTGGTAAATTAAAAAGAACACTGCAGGAAACGTAACTGTTTCATCTCATTGAAGTGGTTATAGTGTCTGGAGTCCCATGGCATCGTCCTTCCATTTAAACCATTTTTTTTAATGCTAAATGAGAGTCTCCAGCATTCCATATTCTCTGTGCTGCAGTAACTTAATAAGAATGTCTGGAACACAACCACAAAATGTTTAGGAACTAGGTCGGCAAGTGAGTAGCACAGGTAGATTGCAGTGTCTATGCCCCTGATGCGCGTTTCACCTTTCGGATCAACAGAGGGGACTACTACTGTACTTTTTACACTAGTACTTATTAAAAGCTACGTTTTATTTCTTTCGGTCCAGTCATTTCTCGACTGAATTAGGGTTTTTTCCACTCTCACCACAACCACTACACCTTATTATTACCATTAACATTTTGTTTTATTTACTCCTGCTACTTAGATATCCTCCTATTTTTCTTATTTTGTGCTAGCTTTTAAAATGTTTTAAAAATATAAAACTATTTTATTTACTCCTGCTACTTAGATATCCTCCTATTTTTCTTATTTTGTGCTAGCTTTTAAAATGTTTTAAAAATATAAAACTATTAAAAAATCATAAATACATTTTAAAAATATTTTTTTTATATATATTGGTATATTTCAAAATTATCAAAATATTACAATATTTTTCAAAATATTAAATCATTTTAAAAGAAAGGTTTACCTAAAAACATGAAATCATTTGAAAAGCTTATCCAAAAAAATAAAGGAAGGCCAAAATATACTGATAAATACAAAAAGAATACATGATATAGAGTAGACAACTTCAAAATTACCTAAATTCTCCAAGGTCATTACTGTAAATCGACTATATTAACATTATTTAAAATTAAACATTGATATATATGGAAACAGACAATTTCTAGTAATCTGATTACAGATCCACTAGGCACAACAAGTCAATAAACTCCGAACTGTAACAAATAGAGATCTAGATTAAAAAAATTAAGAAAGATATATCTGAATTTATGAAATTTTTCATCTTAACTATAATCACATTTTGTCTATCTTTACAACAAAATTTTGAATCACTCACATTGAGATGTGGAGCCTAGTGCAACATGTATTTTAATTTAGTGTTACATATTATTTTTCACACAAAGGAAACAAAAAAAGGAACCAGCATTAGTGTATTTTGTGTATATTACAGTATATGGTTAAAATTTGATAAAAGGTGCAGAGTCAAGGTGTGGAGTTGCGTGGAAGAGTTCTCTGCAGAACTAGCAGGAAACACCATTAAATGCTAGTTCCTATGTTTTAAAAAAGTCACTCTCCAAACTGAGCACTCTGGTTTATCCATTAGAAATGTACATAATAAGGTTATACCTCCACATACCTCCTACAGGTACTGTGCAGCTCCTGCAATGTAGAGAATATAGCTCTAGGTACTCCTGGTGGAGTTATGTGAATTAAATATATAGGTAAACATACGTGCATGCATACGTTTGATCTTTTGTCCATGCTTTTGTAAGGTATTAGTGTTCTAAATAAATATATCTCCTCGTATATTGATTTTGGTTATTTATTCAATGATTATGTAGTGTAATTGTGTAAAAATATCCCTTGCTGTAAGGAATGCAACGTTTGAACAATAATTGTTTTAGCATTTGCTTATCTGCCTACTGATATGAACAGCTATGAGACTATTATTACTATTAATAAATTATTTCCCTGCCTCAAACACACAGATTATTTATCTGGTAAATAAACTCAAGAGATTCCTGAAGGATCTTCTGTGTACCGACTTGCTAGACTCTACGATAATAGGCAGGGTCCTCATCTCCTGATGTATCTATGTGTAATCTTAGTTTTGATACTTATAAAATAAATACCTAGATAAGATTAAGGTTAATGTTCACCAGTTACACCTTGTTTAGTGATCTTTTAAAACCAGGAAAAGCTTTGAGTGCCTCAGGTAAAAAAAAGGTGGTCCCCCTTTCAATCCTTCTTTAGCAATCTTGTTTTTGTTTAATCACAATTTCGGAGGGTATAAGAAGACTCCCTTGTAGTAAATAATGAGTTCAGACAGCAGGCCGGTGGTCAGATGCAGTTCAAACGTATCAGGGGAGAGTTTTTTTTATTTTTCATTTTAGCAGTTTATATTTATTTTATGGCTATTTAAAAGCTGTTTCCTATAGGGGTCTATGAATATTTTGCAGTGTGGAGGGGCTTTTCCTTAAGCTGTGCCCTATCTGTGCTGACATTTTCTGTTTTATTTGCCAGGAGCAGGGCCTGCTGTTCTCTTATGCATGTGTGAGAGTAAAAAAACTGTTGTCTATGCCATTTATTATGAGCCTGATAAATGCAATTAAACAGCCTAATCCAGTATTGTCAATATAAGGGATAGGTATCGGTTTTAATATTCAAACCGATATTTATTGGTTGCCAATAAGTCTTTAATTTTGGTAATATAATCTATCCAAACCAATCAAAAGCTTAATGAGAGCCAAATTACTGGCTCTAATTAAATGGAGGCCTAAGTGATTGTTGGCTTGCATGTTTACTGTTCCACGTTCAAAACATTAACCCATGACACTAATTGTGCCATAGTTATACCACTTTTCTCACAGAAACAGTTTTATACATAACCACTATATTTGTATGAGATTCACATAGTCTCATACAAATTTGCTACCCTTGAGATCAGAAATAAATACATTTAAAAAAAACAACATTCTTAAGGAGTTTTGTTTAGAAGTATTTCATGAACACACCCTTATTTCTACTCATATTCATGTATTAAATGTTTGCTATATTTTGTTCCCATGTTGCCACTGCAAAATTGTAAAGTACTATTGAAAATATTATATGTAAGTAATAATAATTTGCAACACTTAGTTCTTAAAGGGGAATTGTCACATCCAGTATTTTTATTATTATGTTTACTTATCTATATTTAGTAGATATGTGTTTGTGGGAGATAAAAAAACAACTTTTTTTCCTGTAAATAGGCACCTCCATTTTAGCTCTCTGTCAGTCATTCTTATGATCTGTATCCTTTGCACCTGGCAATCAGCATAGAAAAAGGCGAGGAGGAGAAAGTGATGAGGAGAAATGAAACAATGTATGTATTTTTCCGCCTCATTTGCAAAGTGTGCCCAGGCTGTGCCTTGACTGGACTGGATTCTGTTGGCATTTGCTAAATCCTTAATGTAGATTTTTGAAATAAAACACTTGAAGAAAAGCACTCTTGTTCTTCCCTTTGCTTCTATTGAATGCATTTTTAATTTCTATTTTCTCCTTGAAAAGAGTGACCAGCTTTTATTGTGCATGTTATAACCACTTCTAGCATTTTAAAATGTTTGCTGGTTTCACATAAAACAGTAAAAAAGAAAAAAAAGGTAACAAAGGTTATATGGTGTAATTTTCAAATAAGTGACATTTTCCTGTGTGCAAATGGAAACTATCATCCCATTTCCTCATTTACTCCATGTGAACTTTCAGCTATTAAATGGAAACCAACCCAATTTTTCAAAAAGAGAACACTTGACCCATGGAAACAGGAATTAAACGGTGCTTTCTGTCCTTTAATAATAAATTGTGTAATAATTGCAACATGAGTCACCCAATTAGAAAGTGTTGCACAAATTAACTCACTATTCTTGTACAGTAGATTTTTTTTCTTACTACTATTCACATATGCCTGGCGCTGGCCGTTCTTGGAATCCTGGGTAACTTTTTAAGACTAAGCAAATACTTTTTCAGATGGATCAGTACAGCTTTACAATAAGCTGTCAAGGAGGTGGGTTTTGTATGGCACACATAAAGCCAGCAAATACTTGCAAATACTTAGATGAACAAACGTATAACCAGTAGCTGTGTGATTTGTGCAACCCACTGTATTTATAAAGCAACAGTGCGCATGGTGACAGGACATGTTATAGTGCTTAAAGTGTCCCTTTAGGTCTTCAAGAGTAACCTTACTGTATCGATAATTTGTGCATAACTTTGCATTATTAGACCAAATTCGGATTTAGCTGGTAACACTTGCATTTTAGAGGAGTTGTCACCTTTTTGATAACGCCAGTATTTTATCCAGGTAAATACTATTGAAAGGTTTACAAGAGTGAGGAATGTAGCACAGAAAAGTACACATTAACAATCTTGTAATTTATATGATGGAACAGTTACTGTATTTTGCCAAAATATTTGTCATTTCGATTTTAATTTACTACAATTTGGAGCTTAGTTGACATGCTTGATGCAACCAATGGCTCTATGTATTATTCAATTTAAACACTGTGTTTATTTTATAGTCTGTGGTGGAACTGAATGCGGTCTTCAGAGTATCTGGTAAATGTAATGATGGCCAATTTGTTTCTAGGCTATATTGATATTGTTAGGGTTACTAAACTTTATTGTTGCTAAACTTAAACTGTAGTAAAATGTGGCAACATTTAGGCTCACTCACTGTAGGTGAGTTGGAGAATTTTTATCGCTAAATTTTATCCTTCTGATTTTAATTCACTACAAGTCATAGTTTAGTAAACCCATGGAATCCAATTTGAAGTCAAAGATTTAAGGACCACATCGAGCACCATAACAACTTTATTGCAAGGAGGTTGTTATGGTGCATGGAGGTCCTGAGCTAAAGTGGTTAAACCGTCTAACTGCACTGCCACTGAACTAAGGCTCCAAATCTGAAGCTTCAATCAGGAAGCTTTGCAGATAGATTAAGATTGTTTGAATACCCCCATTGAGAAGAGACAATGAAAAAGGTACGTGTCTTTTTAACTCTCGTTCTTGGAGAAGGGTAATGGCTATCCTTTTCCCCTGTGATTATGGCCCTTGTGACTTATTGGATTTTAAAACACTTTTTCCGCCCCTTTAAATCCATGGGAAAATGTGCCTCTTTCCCTCCCCCTTTTTCCTGTCCATTGTTCTCCAGTAGGGCGTTGTCCCAGGGACACTGCCAGACCAGTTGAAACTGGCTGCTTTGTCCCTCCTCAATCTCTCATCAGTCCTTGCTATTGTTTAACCCCATGGCGATCCAACTGTATCCGTGAGATCTGACCGCTTTTCGGACATATTGAGCGCTCAGATCCAAGCTATCTGGGGATATGTTGGACATATAGGTTAAACATTGTATTATAAGAGTTATGTATTTTTATGTGGTTTTTGTAACAGTTTTTGGACTTCGAGATATTTCCTGTTACTGGAGATAATTGGCTTACCACAGTCACTTAAGCTAATTATCTCCAGGATAGAGAAGAAGCTAGTCCGGCCGCACAGCCTAAATCTGTGGAACTGTTTTGGGCATGAAAGCCATGCTTGCGGTCGGTCAAATGTGACTTCCACAAAACTTTTGTGGGGACTGCGGTGGTTATGGTGTCTCGGGGAGCACTAGGACCATTCTTTAACGGAGGTACCCAGTCGGGGTGCCAGCTGGTCTGTTACAGGAAGCTACTAATCTGAGGCTTCCTGATTGAAGCCTTGGATGTGGTGTAGTAGTTTAGGGGCAGAGTAATCGGGAACCGTCTTGTAGTCTTTGGAGTTAAACCATTTGTTAACAGTTTAATTCCCACAGGTGAGCTGACATCTATGACCTTCTTGCACCATGATAACTTAATTCCTACGAGGGTATTATGGTGCTTGGAATCTCCCTTTGAGCAGTTTGGAAACTCAGAAATCTTCCCAGTCAACAGCACATCTAAATATGACACATGGAGAATATGAATAAATCACTGAACCAGTCCAGTACTGTTCTCTGTTTAAATATAAGTGACTCGTTTTCAAATAGTGAAGTGTAAAGCATAGGTGCCTATTTGCTGATTATTCAATAGATTCCCTGTCATTATCAAAACATTTACAGTGGAGCAATGCCAATAAACCTGTTAGACAAGACAGTTCAGGATTAGCGAAGGTGAAATACAGCAAAAACTGCATTAAATTACCTGGTTTAACAACATTTTTACCCGGACTGGTCCTGGTGGTGGAATAATAAGAGTGGCGAGACAGGTCAGTGTAAACTAGTTATTACACATTGTTTTACAAAAACGGCAGAAGAAAATGTTTTGCAAAATAGTGTCAAGAGTACACTGGACTGAATGTGGAAATTAGAAAATAGTAACAAAAAAGTGTGTTACTGATCTTTAAAACTAACTGGGTATAACAGTGAAATAAGTCACCAATAAAGAATTGCTAAAAAGTTTTATTGCCCCCAAAAAATTATTTACAAAGAGTATTATTATCATCAAAGTCAACTATTACAAAAAAAGTCCAAATAAAATCACACTGCCTTACAAACAGGATGATGTTCACCCCTATGCAGGTTGTGCCACCTAGTGTGGAAAAATACAGTGCACAGAAACAAACGAACAACAATGTTTTTATAACGCAAATGGTACAGAAGATTTTGGATTGCCCTCCACAACAGTATGTTGTGGTTTAGTTCTACAAAATAATTAAGTCATACTATTATAGCAATTGATGTAAATTTCACAATTTTGTCAAACTTGAAAAATGTAAATGCACACTCCCTTGTTGAGTTGGGTAGAGATTACAAAGCTGTTTGAATTGCTGTAACTCAGAAACCTATTTTGAAAGTTTGTCCTCCAAGGTACAACAGATAATTTCACAGTAATGACATTTGCTAATGCAAAAAGAATTTTGTTGAGAATGTCCATAATTACCAAAACAAAAACATGTTAAAAAATAAAGCACTAATAAATATTACACACCCAAATCCGGGAAGACCCACTAAATGATGCCCGGCTTATGTAAATAAATATCCAAATACTCAATGGCTATCTAAGAATAAAAAAGAACAACAAATATTCTTCCTAGTATCACTCTAATTGGACAGTAAAGCTGAAAAAACGTATTACCAAATGCAAATTGGAAAAAATGTGCATGCTTGGGAACCATGGCTGCTTCTGGTAATTGTGGTGATTATATAAATTTCTCTGGTGGCTCCCTATATCTCCTTGATTGCAGGACTCTAGCGTTGCGCGCCTTGGAGATTTGCCTCCATTCTATGGTGCTAGAGAAAATATGGCCTCTTTATAAAAAGTAAATAAAAATGCATTGTATTAAAGTCCTCTATATTGCATATTAAACACACTGGGGTAGAGTTACCCACAAAGATGAAATTGTTAAAAAAACAAACCAGCCCCCCTACCCCACCCCCCAAAAAACAGCAACAAAAAGACAGCAGGGGGAGTAAAAAGCTGCATGAAAGGTAAAATAGTACAAAAATAAATAATGGAAAAAAAGAAATAACATGAAAAAAAACAAACCGTTGAGCAATGAAAAATAAAGGGAGTAAAAAATTGAAATATGTTTATTTTGTTTTTAATAAAAAAAATGAATGAATAAAAAACATTAATTACATAATACACAAGAAGGTTCAAAATACATATGGTATATGGGATGTAATATTAACATAAGAAATTAAATATAAATATTATTTTAATCAATAAAACATTTAAAATGGAAAAAAAAATACAGAAAAATTGAAATTGAAAATTAAAGCAGGCTACATGTAAATGTACTAGAAGGACTATAATCACTGTTGTTCCCTCTCCTGTCTATACTCCCTCACAAGCCTCCATACCAGCAACCTCTTTCTCCCTGCCCATTGCACCCTTTTGAGCCAGCCGGAGTGACTTTCACCAGCGGGAACTACTGACAATCCTTCCAAAACTCCAGTCTGGCTACCCTCAGTGCCTCACCTTGTTCTGACCCATTTCACCATGAGCTAGGAGCAGGGCCGGTGCAAAGATTTTTGT